GAGGCTGAACAGGTTCAGGTCCCGTAGCCTCTGCTTGTAGGGCCTGCCCTGCTGCCCCCTGATCATGTGAGTGGCCCTCCTCTGGACTCCCTTGATGCTGTCCACATCCCTCCTGAAGTGCGGCACCCAGAAAAAAAAAAAATTATTACAAGCTCACCGCTGCCCCTTTGAAGGCCAGTGGGAGGCAGGCTTTCAGAGGTTGCATGCTGTTGTGGCGGGGGGACACTGAGTTTGTGTTTCCACCTCCGTGGGGCTTCCAGTACTCCGTCTAGGAAGCCCCATGTAGAGGCACTGACCGTGATGGTGTGCACTGGACAGCTGGTGAGTGGGGAGGACAGATTCTGTCTGCAGGCTGGGGTTGGGTGTGGGGTTGGGGATGGGTGGGGATGAGGTTTGTGAGTGGGGGGTGGGCTTCCTGCCACGGTGCACAGGCCCTGTCGTCATTATCATCATCAGGTAGTGGGCGCTCAATGCTCCTGGCCTGCTGCAGGCAGAACCCCTGGCAGCGTGCAGCTCCAGGTGAATCTCAGGAGCTGCATGTGGTGGCACGGAGCCTGCCTGGCCTGCTGGTGTGCACCTTCGAGCCGGACCAAGCTTGCTATATGGCAGCACGTGGGGCTCTTGACACTGCAGGCAGGAGTCATGTGCCTTTGGGCCTGGCTGGGATGTGCCTCCATGTGGGGCTTTCAGCACTCCAACAGGGAGCTGCACGTGGCAGCACAGAGACCACCTGGCCCGATGGCATGCAACTCCCCACGGCTCCTGTTTCATGCACCCTTGGGCTGGGCCAGCTCCACGCCTCAATGTGCGGCTCCCTGCTGGAGTGCTGGAAGCCCCATGTGGAGGCATGGAGCTGGCCCAGCCCAATGGTGCACGGCTCCCGCTTGTAGCGTTTGGAGCCCCACATGCTGGCATGGAGCCAACCTGGTATGGTTTGAAGGCATGCACCAGTGGGCTGGACTGGCTCTGTGCTACCACGTGCAGCTCCCGGGATTCAGGCTGAGTGGCATGCTGCTGTGGGGGCTGTACCTGCCATGGACCTGGAGTGCCCTGACAGCTTGCTGCTGCTGCTGTTGCTACTGGCAGCAGGTGCTGTGTCATGGGAGGGGCCCATACCCACCCACACACTCTTCCTCCCCCCTCCCCCACAAACCTCACACTGTCCCCCACAAATCCCACCCCCCAACATACAAAAGTAAGACTTTATTTTGAGCTATTATGCAGTCACCTCTATATACACTATGCAAATGCATGTAAATCAGGATAAGAAATATAATTTGTTTGTTGCTGGGTTTTTTGGTTGCAAGATGGCAAACCCCTCTCCCAAAAGGAGGTGGGGGGCAATGGGGACTTCCAGTAGCAAAGGTCAGGGGTTAGGGGTGGGACTTCTGGTCCCAAGATGATGAGCATGTAACAGAGCTCCTGTTAAGGGCAGGGCTACCTTTGCAGCCCTTGACAGCTAACCAAAAGTTGTGAAGTAGCCTTCTGGTCGAAATTATTGCCCACCCCTGCCATAGTGATTAGTGAACTTCTAAATGAGGTTAAGCACACTTGGTCCAATTCTGCAAATCCAAATTATCACCTCCTGAAGTGAGTTGGAATGATTTGGGCTTTTGCCAGTGTGACTGAGAAGAAAATTTGATTGAATAGTCTATGTGAGCCCATAGAGTTTTGCAGGGTGGGTTTGATTTAAATCAAATAGATTTAAATCAGTGGGCAAGAAACCTCTATTTAATCATTGTTTTCTATAAAATGTGCATTCTTGTTGTTTAAAATAATCCTGAACAGGGTCTCTTTTACAGCCTGGCAAGCCTGCTGCTGTGATAGGTTTTTCTTTCTACCATATCATTCCCTCGCTAGATCTCAAATCAATGGAGAGGCTATACTCAAACTTATCCCTTTTGAAATAATCTACTCAAAATGTTTCCCTTTTGTTTCTACTGCCCCTCCCCCCCTGGCATTTTTCTCCAGATTCCTCCTCCTTGCCCAGATCTACTCTGCCCCCAACAATCCTCTATTCATTTAACTTCTTGAAACTTTGAAATTTTAGGAAGAGGTAAGGGCTTGACTGTGTGTACACAAACTCTCAGAGACAAGAGGGCTAATGGGTAGGTAATCAGGTCTGTTATCTTTCGCCTCCCATATAGAGATGCTTAATGAGATCTTTTAGACTGAGCACTGAGTCCCATTGGGTAGAATGGTGTTCTTTAATCTTTACTTATCTATAGAAGAGCGCCTGGGAACCCCGTAAGATTGGGCCCCTAATATAATGCATGGCCTGTTGTGACCTTACTTATAAAACTTTTCTAAAGAAGTTGCATGAATATATTGTCTCAAATAGTATATACTTAGACATTTTAATCCTTATTCCCAAGATAATAATCTTTGAGCTCTAACATATCTTAAATCAAAACTATATATAGGGTTTTTTTAAAAAAAGCATTTCAACAAAAAACAATTAAAAAAAAATCTGATTTATATAAAAAAAAATCCATTTAAAAAAAAATGTTGATTTTTATCCACCCTGGAGTTTTGGCACTTTCCAGGCCATAAGCCAAAATAATGCTTTGTTAGATTCTTCATACATATAAATCCTTATCTAAAATCTTTGATGCCTGAATATTGTTAGTGTATAACTTGAATAGTTAAAATTTGCAATTTTTTTAATATCTTAATCTCCCAAATGATCTTAATCAACAGAAAAGGATGATTTATTTAGGTGGTGTAGAGAGGACTGGCTCTGATGGGAGGTGGAGCAGGCAAGAAGGAAATTCAAGCATCTATCTGAATTGCTTTTTGCTGTCTTTTCTCTAGGAAGGTATAGTTGAAAATCTCTTTAAGTGGGCACGAGAAGCTGATCAGCCATTACGGACATACGCAACTGGGCTGCTAGGAGGTGCTATGGAAAACCAAGATATTGCTGCCAACTACAGGGATGAGAACTCGCAGTTGGTAACGTCTTCATGAAACACTTAACTTTTCTGAAGGGTTTTAAGCAGGGGCGGGCAAAATGCGGCCCACAGGCCGGATGCAGCCTGCCAGGCCATTCTATCTGACCCACGGGGCCCCTAAAAATTTAGAAAATTAATATTTATCTGCCCCTGGCTGCCTGTTATGCAGCCCTTGATGGCTTGCCAAAACTCAGTAAGCGGCCCTCCGCCTGAAATAATTGCTCACCCCTGGTTTAAAATGAAGAATCCTCTTGTTTGCCTGCCATTGCTGAGATTCGTCAGCTATTTTGTGGGCTTAGTTGCTCTAATTGCAAAACTTGCAAGAGTAAATAGCTTGTGCTACATACTCTCTCTTCCCAAGTGTATATTTATTGATGGTTTATTTTGTTACCTGATATTTTGTGGGTTGTGTGTTCAAAAGTGCTGAAGGACACAAAGAATACAAATAAATTTTTAGGTGATTTGTGCTCCTATCTTTAAGTGCATTTTAAATTTTCACTCTAAATTCATAACTATAATATGCAAAAGCTCACGTATGGGACAGAGACTGTGAAATGAAGGTCAATAATAAACCACTTTTATATAAACTAATTGGTTTGTATATGCATACTCTTAGTTTTGTTTTTTTATCTCAGCTGTCAACAAACAAGCGGGATAATTTTAGGTCTGCTTGGGATGAATAATATTCACTCTCATTTGTTAGCCTTCAAATAGAAAGGCTCTGACATCCTGAGGTTTAAATTTTGGAGGTAGGCCAGCGTTTGAGCCCGAATGATTACCGTAACATTCATGACGCCTTATTGTAAGGGATTTGTATGGTACATGTGAAAAGACTTAAAAATCTGGTGTTTCTTTTTAATATTGTCCAGTCATAGGAACCTGGTGCACGTGCTATTTTGTAGTTGCCTGAAGACAGTGAACATGCTCATGTTTGCCTCTTTGCTTAATAGGTGGCTTTGGTGCTTCGTCGGCTTCGAGAGCTGCAAGTTAACGAAATGACTACGAAGCAGGAAAACAAACGTCCCAGTCCTCGGAAATTGCCTTCTGACCCTCTGCTGCCACTGGATGAAGAGGCTGTGGACATGGACTATGGAGAGATGGCGGTAGATGGGGAACAGGAGGAAGTTGCTGGGGATATGGAGATCTCTTTTCATCTTGATTCAAGCCACAAGACCAGTAGTCGAGTGAACTCTGCTACAAAGCTTGAGGATGGGGGACTGAGGAAAAGCAAATCAGGGAAACAGCATGAAAAAGACAACTTTCGAAAGGCCAAGCAAAAGCTGGGTTTCTCTGCTTCAGAACCAGAGCGGATGTTTGTGGAACTGTCCAACAGCAGCTGGTCAGAGATGTCTCCATGGGTGATTGGCACTAACTATACACTTTACCCTTTGACTCCTGCCATAGAGCAGAGACTAATTCTTCAATACCTGACGCCACTGGGAGAGTACCAAGAGGTGAGCAGATGGGGAGGAGAAACAGAATATGCTTAAGGTCTTCTATTGAAATTGTTGTATTCAGAAATGATCTGAGTGTCATGGTACCAATGCGGATCCCTGAATTGTTTATCAGATGGATTGGTCCATTAAATTGTGGGAAATCGGAATAAAAATGATGATGAGACCAGAAATCAATGCAATCTTGCATTTTGCGCTGGGTAACAGACTTCTGGATCCTGTTTAAGTTCTGAAATCCAAGTAATTTGTTGTGTTGCTTAAGGCAAATCACTTAACTTGAGATATATAAAGGCTTCCTTTTTGTAAAACAGGTCTTAACACCCTGGCTTTTGAGATTGTCTAAGGCAGTGGTTCTCAACCTTTTTGGTACCAGGACCCACTGGTAAACATCAATGGCTAGTCTTGACCCAGTGCCCCTCACTCTGATCTACTGCCCCATGCCTGCAGTCTCCAGCCCCACAGTGTGCGGGGCTGGGGGTGGGTGCGTGTGAGGGTTGGGGGCATAGCGGGCATGGGGGGGCCCCAAGCAGCCCCTTGCAGGTTGGAACTCTGCCAGTCTGCAAGGGAAAAGCCACAGTTTCCGACACTTTTCTCCTTTAAAGGAGACTCCATTTTTTAAAATTTTGTTGATCCATTTTTTAAAGTTTGTTTGTGACCCTTTCATATATTCTTGTGATGCACTTTTGAGTTGTGAACCATGGGTTGAGAAATGCTGATCTAAGGAATAGTGCAAAGTGTTAAAGTGTAATCTTTGCGTGACCTCTGCAGTTATCCTAGTTAGCTGAAGTTAGCTCCATTCATGTTACAGATTCTTTTCAAAGCTGAAAAAGGGGCATTTTTGATGTTGTTACATAGCTGGACAAAACAGGAGCAGGCTTATTGGATCAGCAGGGCACCTGTTTAGCACCGGTCTGTAAACAGGCTGTATCTTTGCATAACAAACTTCCCCTGAAGGGTTTAACTTTGATCTGAGAGAGTGATTCTGTGTTGCTATATTCTTTATGGTGCAGCCTATGTGTGTGCGCATGTGCACCTTGCTTCTGAGAGAATCAGGGCAACTGTCAGACTATAAACCATTAATATTGCTGCATGGCTGAATGGATCATTTAATCTGTCAGCAAGCATATATAACATATGAATTAATGGTGTTAAAACTATTGCACACAGGATTATACATAGGGTTTTTGGTTTTCTTGCCCTGCTCTCCTGTTTTTTCTGTTCAGTCGTTGGGTAGTTGTCTTTGCACAGATGGAAAATGGAACCTATCGCCAGGGTGTTCCCTGTGTGGACATGCCATAGCTGCACTTGAAGGACTGTCTTAAGATTTCCGTGTGGCAGCTGTCACGCAACTTGCTGCAGTCAGCAGATGTATTACAAGAGGTCTGTTAACCTTTATTGCTTCCTATGGATGGAGCTGGTTACCTCTGACCTCTCATAACAGGTATCTCCTAATAAGGGAAAATTGGGGTTGGGGAAAGTAAAAACCAAAAAGGCCTTTGAAATTCTCTCAACCATTGAGCAAGTTTCTCTATTCTTTGTTCTCAGCTGCTGCCCATCTTCATGCAACTTGGATCAAGAGAGCTAATGATGTACTACATTGACCTGAAACGAACCAATGATGTACTGCTCACTTTTGAAGCCCTCAAGGTAAATTATCTTCAATGTGAAGTAGTTGCTCATTAATTTCTGGTAGTATCGGGCTGCCTGTTTGCTAGTGCATGCCACAGACTGTTGAGGCGAACCCTCATGCTCTTCAGTAAAGAGGGCTCATGTTTCCTGTTGACTAGTCTGGGGCTGGAAACTGAATTGGATACTTTCTTGACCTGAGGTGAAAGGACAAAAAAAAAAGCAGTGATTGTAGAAGAAACTGTTCAGAATAAATGGAGACTGAGGCTATTGGTGGGAATGAATGTCAAGTACTGTTTCTATTCCTGGCTCTACTGCTAACTTGCTATGTAATGTTGAACAAAGCTTTTAACTTGTTAGTGTTTCAGGTTCCCTGTGCATACAGGTTCCAGTGGTTCTGGAGAAAAATGTTAAGAGCAGGTAGAGGGGGAACGGCTTCAAAAGCTGGAGTAGAGAATAGAGCAGGGGCAGGCAAAATATGGCCCACAGGCCAGATCCGGCCCACCAGGCACTTTCATCCAGCCTGTGTCACCCACCAACTAATTGTACCCCATCCAGCCCTTAGAATCATAGAATCAATGAGTCAGAAGGGACCTAGACAGATCATCTAGTCCGACCCCCTGCCATAGGCAAGAAGGAGCACTGGGGATGGCAGGGGTCATAAGACCCCAGCCAGGTGCCTATCCAGTCTCCTCTTGAAGATCTCCAGGGAAGGTGAGAGCACCACCTCTCTGGGAAGCCTATTGCAGGTTCTGGCCACCCTCACCGTGAAGTAGTTCTTCCTAATATCTAACCTAAACCTATCCTCCCTCAGCTTGTGGCCATTGTTCCTGGTGACTCCAAGGGGACCCTGGTGAACAGACTTTCCCCAAGTCCTTGCTGGTGGCCCTGATAAAGTTGTAGGCAGCCACAAGATCCCCCCTCAGTCTCCTCTTGCGGAGACTGAAGAGATTCAGGTCCCTCAGCCTCTCCTCACAGGGCTGGCCATGGAGGCCCTCAGCCATACGAGTGGCCTCCTCTGGACCCTCTCCAGGTTCTCCACATCCTTCTTGAAGGATGTCCCACCCTTCTGCCCATGAGGGTGGGAACAAGGCACCCACGTATATACAACCCCTGCCAACATACCCTGTTGTGCCTCACTCCCACCCTCATGGGCGGAAGGGCCTGGCCAGCCAGGATGCATCTTCCGGGTGGGGCCACTGCTGCAGCTGCTGGGGGACCTGCTTGGCTTCCCCAGCATCCCACTTGCTCCAGGCAGCAGGTAGGGAGGCGGTGGGGGCAGGGGCAGAGCTGCAGCTGGGTGGGAGCACAGAGCATGGGGCTGGCGCTGGTGGCAGCACGGAGCCTGTGCCCCGGGGCAGTGGCAACATAGAGCTCAGGTGGGCAGAGTGTGGGTGTGAGGGTGGTGAGGTGTTGGGACCCTCCCCCCCCATGGTGTGCAGCCCTGGCAGGCAGCAGTGGCAACAGCAGCATCAAAGGCAGGGGTGCTCAGGGCACTCGTGCCTGGCACAAACTCTGCTGGGCAGTGCATGGCTCCAGCCAGCGCTGCACATGGGTGAGGGGTACAGCCCACCCGGGCTGCCTCTATTGCTGGTGCTCCCCACCATGCATGCACAGCCTCTGCATTTATGTAGCACTGGAGGCAACCCAGCTGTGCTAGAGCCAGCTACTTTCCTTGCCCCATGCTGCGCAGGTCCCTGGACTTCACTGGAAGTGATGAGACTGCCCCTTGTCCCTATATGCAGCACTGGCTGGAGCTGCACACTGCCAGGCACAAGTGCCCCCACTTGCTGCTGCTGCTGCTGTGCCATAGGGGGAGTGTGTGTGGGGGGGCATACCCCCCACCCTCCCTCATGCCCCACAAATGCCACACACCCACACACTGCCCCTATAATCTCCACACCTCCCTGCATAATACACAAGACTTAAGAATTTATTCTTGAGTTATTATGCAGTCACCTCTATATACAGTATGCAAACACAAATCATGACACACACTTTTTGTGATAAAATTAAAATGTTATAGTAAGTATTTGATTTTTTTAGTGTATGATTTGATTTTTTTTCTGGTTCTAAGATGGCAATCCTGCTCTCAAGGAGTGTTTCCGGTACGGGACAAGGGGAGGGACTTCTGGTGGCAAAGATATGGGGTTAGGGGGTGGGACTTCTTCTGGTCCCAAGATGGCAACCAGGGGGCAGGGCACCTGTCAAGGGGCAGGGCTACCCATACAACCCTTGACAGCTCACCAAATCTCATTAAGCAGCCCTCCACCCAAAATAATAGCCCACCCCTGGAATAGAGAGACACAGGCTTCTGAAGTGAGACGTGTTATCACCATATGGAAAAAGTGCTTTCTTAATGATAAATTTAGTCTTTGGACATGATATGTCATGACAGGAAACCTTTCTGCTGCCTGAAGAAGGGACTCCTTGTGAAGAGGGCTTTTCTGATTCCTCCATCCACCTCAGCTCCAGCCCTTCCCTCCATCCCTGCTGTGCTGGGCTGGCATTGCTGGATTGCTTTATTGCTTGTAACTTGAAGGGCCTCAGCACAGGATACCTTAGCACAGGGGTTTTCAACTTTTTTGGGGCAGTGTACCCCTGGCGGCCAGTCAAGAAGGCATGAGTTCCCCAGCGGCCAGATGAGCGGTGGGGGGACCAATTGCAGGGGTGGGGAGTGTGGCAGTGCCTGGTGCTGAGTAGCCCCTGAGGCCATCCCAAGTACTCCCAGGGGTACGCGTACCCCGGCTGAAAACCCCTGCCTTAGCAAAAGCTTCAGCAGTGTCAGTGCAGGATTCTGAAATGTATGTGATTTATAAATGCATGAGTTTTGACAGTTGGATCTGCTGATATAATTGATACAAAAGCATGTATGGTGAACAGGTTAAATCCTATACTTTGTCCAAGGTGTGCCGGGGGAACTGAAGGAAGGAGACAGCATTTTTTTTTTGCTACTTCACTGCATAGCAAGAAGGGCAGGTTCTTTCATAAGTGGCAGTGAATGAATAAATTTTGCAGTAACCCACTCTTTCTCTGTCTCTCTCTTTTCTTAGCATTTGGCATCATTGCTGCTGCACAACAAGTTTGCGACAGAGTTTGTTGCTCATGGAGGAGTGCAGAAGCTGCTAGAGATTCCTCGTCCTTCCATGGCAGCTACAGGGGTCTCAATGTGCTTATACTATTTGTCCTACAATCAGGATGCCATGGAGAGGGTAAGAGTTTCTCTTAATAGGGTTGAAGTGATTGGTAGAGCATTGAATTCTGTCTCCTGGAGGTTCAAATGATGAATAAGTAGTACAAAGGTGGAACTGAAAAGCAGAATGCTGTTTGAAGCAAATGGCCTGTGCAGCAAAGTAAAGTGATGGGACCTGTACAATGATACTTTGGAGGGTATTTGTGTTTAGGGGAAATGTAGCTGGGGATTTAGAAATAATTTTGGAAGTAAATTCCCTTTTCAGGGCTTTGAAACGCTGTCCTGTTTCCAAAAATAAAGACAAAAAAATAAAGGTCAAATTCACTATCACCTCCTCCGCAGCTGATGACCATTCCTTTTCGGGGGTGGTTCTTCCATGCAAGATCCAGGCATGGATAGCTGCTTTGACCGTACAGTCCAGTAGCAGAGTGCTAATACCCCCCAAAGCACGTTAAACCTGCAGCAGAGGGCTAATAAAGGCATGGACAACATCATGGTTTGTATTATTTAAGAGGTCAGACTAGACTATCGTAGCATTCCCTTTTTATTTTTCCAGTCTGTGACATTTTAAACAGGGTAGTTAAGGAAGAATATTAAGATGTGGAGTAGGAAGGACACTAAGATGTGGGGAGAAGTAGGCATGCTGGAAGAGAGGGACAGGCTACAACTAGATCTGTCCAGGTTACAGGTGTGGGTGGATGAGAACAGGATGGGCCTCAATACTGACAAGTGCAAGGTATTGCACCTGGGGAGGAAGAACCAGCAACATACCTACAGGCTGGGGAACTCACTTCTAGTCAGCACAGAGACAGAAAAGGATCTTGGAGTCATTACTGATTCCAAGATGAACATGGGTCGACAATGTGAGAACATGGTCAGGAAGGCTAACAGCACCTTGTCATGCATCCACAGATGCATCACGAGCAGGTCCAAGGAGGTGATCCTCCCCCTCTGTGACACTGATCAGGCCACAGCAGGAGTACTGTGTCCAGTTCTGGGTGCTGCACTTCAGGGGGGATGAGGCTAGCATTGAGAGGGTCCAGAGGAGGTCCACTCACATGATCGGGGGCAACATGGCAGGCCCTACGAGCGGAGGCTATGGGACCTGAACCTGTTCAGCCTCCACAAGAGAAGGCTGAGAGGGCATTTGGTGGCTGTCTACAAACTGGCCAAGGGGGACCAGCAGGCTATGGGAGAGTCCCTGTTCCCCCAAGCACTACTGGGAGTAACAAGGACTAACGGCTGTAAGTTGACTGAGAGTAGATTCAGGCTAGATATCAGGAAGCGCTACTTCACAGTCAGGGCAGCTAGGATCTGGAACCAACTTCCAAGGGAAGTGGTACTCATACCTACCCTGGGGGTCTTCAAAAAGAGGCTAGATAGTTACTTAGCTGGGGTTATTTGACCCCAGCATTCTTTCCTGCCCATAGCAGGGGGTCGGACTTGATGATCTGCTTAGGTCCCTTCTGACCCTACCAACTATGAAACTAAGATTACAGTTTCCTGTGTGATATTTTTATAGAGATATGAAAACCAGAAGTTTCCCGATACTTCCTCCTGCCTGATTATTATTGATCCTTAAATTTTTTCTTGGTGGCTATCATCTCTTGTTCATTTTAGGCAAGTTATTGTGGTATGCCGCAGTTGTCATGCTTTCAAAATGACTGGGTGTGTGCTTTCTGGCCATGCCACTTTATTTTTATGACTTCTTTCAATTAAGGTTGGTGGTAGCTAAACCAGGAGTTAACACACAAATGTACTTCTGGTGTTATATTCCACCATGTCTGGCACCCACTGTACTTAGTTTTGTTAGACACCTAACTTCATTAGGCAAGTAGCATACAAATCTGTGGTGGTTTTTAAGTATATACTTGGGAATCCCACTATAGATGCAATGTCATGGATGTAAGCCCAAACCTTTTGAACAGTTGGGTCTAAAAGGTAGATCTGTGCATCCCATCTTTCCTTGTGTCCTGGGGAGGACATACAGAACAGGGTAGCTGTAACCCTCCCTCAGTTTTCTCTTACCAGCTCTAGCTGTCACCTGCTTTGGCCTTTATCTGAACTTAATATCTTATTTTTGTTAAAGAGCCTATTTTCTTCATTAGGCAGTGGTTTATGAATCTTTCAGCCTCAGACATGAAGTTCTGTATGCAAAGATGTTGATCCAAAGGCATGTAACATCCTAATCCAGGGGAAAGAATTCTAAAACTGGGAAGGGACTAATCACGTTCTCATGCTTCAGAAATAGCAACAAGATGCTGGGGGATAGGAAAATTAAAGACCTTGATAGTGATTTCATAGGCATTAAGGCTGGAAGAGACCTCGCAAGATCATTGGGTCCAGCCCCCTGCCCAAGGGGCAGGAAGTCAGTTGGGGTCAAGTGATCCCAGCAAGATTGGACACTTAAACACTTGGATTCCTGAGTAGGTGCTTGCACAACTTCTGGTGGGGAGTTTATTCCAGGTTCTGGGGACTTGGACAGTAAAGAAGATCTTTCTTATGTCCAGCCTAAAACGGTTGTCTTAGATTTTGTCTTCCCTTGGGGTGTCCTGGTGAACAGATGTTCTCCCAGTTCCTGATGCACACCCCTTGTATACTTACAGGCTGCCACCAAGTCCCCCCGAACCTCTGCTTCTCTAGGCTAAAGAGTCCCATGCCTCTCAGCCTTTCCTCATAAGGCCTGTGCTCTTGTCCTCTAATCGTCCATGTGGCTCTCCTCTGGACTCTCTCAAGCTTCCCCACATCCTTTCTAAAGTGCAGAGTCCAGAATTGCATGTAGTACTCCAGCTGCAGCCTCACCAAGGCCGAGCAAAGTGGAAGGGTGACTTCCTGGGTCTTGCTTGAGGTGCATTGGTAGATGCAAGCCAGGGTTTTGTTGGCTTTGCCTGCTGTGGCATTGCATTGGTGGCTCATGTTCATTTTGTGGTCAGTCACGACTCCCAAGTCTCTTTCAGTCATGGTGCTAGTGTGTGTAGTGCTGCCGAGCCCATAAGTACAATGTGGATTTCACCCAGCCCTTTTCCTACCTTTCCTATGGGCTGGGATGGATTTCCCATGTGCTTCAAAGATGATGTCCTTAAGGAGCGTCCACTCATCATGGACTCCCCTCTCTCCCAGATTATTTTCTGAGGGCCTTGGCAACCAGCCTCCTGAGTTTACCACCTGAGTGGTACTGATGTTAATCCCACGGGCATCTCTGGAACCGGCACTGATGCTGACTCATCTTCAGGGATCCAGGCTTTCTGTTTGCCATGGAAAAATGCAGACTTTCTCCTTTAAAGGAGAAAATAGCAGATCTTTAAAGGAGAAAAACCCAGGAAGTGGCAGGTTTCCCCTTTCAGGTTGACAGAGTTCCAGCCTGCAAAGGGCTGCTTGGGGCTGGAGACAGCGGTGAAGAGCAGCTCCCTTAGCTCTGGGTAAGTCTGTGGGGGCAGGGGCAAGGCACAGGTGACTTGACAGAGGGGCAGGGGACACAAGCAATGCATGGTGGGGAGTGTGGCATGTCATGTCCCCCCCTAGACTTCTGTGCTCACAATGGGGTGCAGGGATGCAGCTAGGCTGGAACCAGCTCTGGGCGGAAGCTGCCTCCACGACCCAACAGGTGGGACCTGGTGCAGGAGGCAGTGCCACCATGGCCCCCAAGGTGAGGCATGTCAGTAGTGCAAAGTTGTGTTCCCCACTACTGTCGGGTGGCTGTAGGGCACCTCAGCTTGGCAGCCATGGTGGTGCGGCGCTTCCTCCTGTGCCAGGTCTCACCCACTGGGCTGTGGAGGCAGCTCCTGCCTGCAGCTGGTCTGCCTTGGCTGCAGCCCCATGCCCCATTGTGAGAATAGAAATCTGGGGGGGCCTGTGCCCCCCATCTCTCCCCATACATTGCCTGTGCCCACGTACCCCCTTCCCCACATACCCACTCTCTTCCCCATACCCTGGGGTTGGGGGGGTCAGGAGTGAGGGGCAGCAGCAGGGCCAGGGGGCAATGAGGGGCAACGGTATAGGCAAGGGCAGAGCACCAGCATAATGGGGCTGCTTAACACCACAAAGCAGTGGGAAGGATGATAGACAGCTGCAGTTGGACCCATGTTCTGGTGAGCAAAGGGAGTAGGGGTAGCTCTGATTTTTCCATGATAAAAGAACCAAAATTAAATGCCAAAATATATTGGTTTTTAGACTGTATTTTATTACAATTATTGAGGCACTGGTAGGCTTCCAAATTATTTAAAAAATGTAAATATATCTATAAAACATTTTGTTTAACTGATACTTATATTTATATAGTGGCATTTCATTTCAGTCACGGAAAAATGTGGATTTTTGGTTTTTAAATTAGAAAATTTGGGATTTTCTTTTAATCAGACAATTTGGGGATTTTTAAACAGAGAAAACTAGGATCCCTGGTCATCTTATAGTGCTAACATTAACTGTTCAAGACTTTTGATTTACCTTTTTCTTAGCGTGGACTCATGGACATGTCTACTATTAACATACTAGGAATTGTAGTATGATGTTTCATTTCCATCATGGGGCCACTCCTCCTCCTAAAACTGTAGTAGGAAGTTTTCTTTGGACAGGTGGGAATAGCATTTGGAGACATCTCAGGAAATTCTATACCTTGAACTGCCACAGGGCTTAAGTGGTTAGCCATTGTCAGTCCAGCATACGTTGCACCATGCTGGCCTCAAATGTGCTTTTGGGATCCACATTTTACTGGTTGTGGACTGGCAAGTTATCTCACTTCTGTACTAGAAGAACTATTGAGGTTACCTGTAGCATCACTGGACAACTCATATTCCCTTTAGTGAGAGGGGGCACGAGAACAAATGCTTCAACTTCATTTGCCTCTCAAGAAATCCCTGTTTTTACAGCAGAACAATAGTTCTGGCCCCAGCCATGGCCAAAGGCTATTTCAAACTCTCTTCTAAGAGTTCTTGTCTAATGGATCCAAACTCCTAGATATCAAGATGGCTATAATTCAAGAAAATACTGGAAGCTTTCTGATTTAATTGCACTCCTTGACAT